TTGGGTAAAACATACAGATCACTAAACTGGGTGTCACAGTGCGTGGCATTYGAATGCCTCCTATTGTCATGATAATATGGATTTTGACAGGAACAATTTAGCTACGACAACGTATTTACGTGTATACGGTCAAAATTGGCCAAGAATTTCATTTAGTACAATTTTCTCTTGACAAGCACGTTTTATATGTCCCGCAGACACTGAATACCCTTCTTTGTAAAAGCGCAGCAATTACAGGATGTTGGACAATACTGAGGTCTCTTAGCTACCTACCGCGAAGCTTGGGAGCCATCTTTTGAAATTTAGAATATTGAATTGCAATTATTTCCTTTGTTTTTTAATGAAAAATATAGGTCTTGCACAACTCTAAAAATCAGCGAAACAAATGCTTAGCTTAACAAACCTGTGTTTATAGCCTACAAAATGTCCATACCTKCACTCAATTATTTACTCTTTGAAAAGTCTCCACGAAAAGCAATCATTAGTCCGTAAAAACCCCTCGTTAGAAATTCCTGTTTTTTGACTAGCTCTTATCAGATGCACTATTAAATTATTAATAGTCTGGAAACATTTCGCTTTACACAGTAAGGATTTTCATTAGGGTAAACTTAAGGCTGAGACAAATCCATAGCTTGGGTAAAAATTTAGTTCAGTTTTTTTCAACTGAAATTTGGACTAGCAAGATAAAAAGGAACAAAGAAGTTTAGAGAAAAATCTTTCCAGATGGAAATTCGTTGATGTGTTTAATGCGTTAGATTAAGGTAAGTAAAATAATAAAAAAGTGATTATTTTAATGTTGTTATTTTTTGTTGAGATTTTTTGGAAAGCTTTATTCCTAAGCATAATTTTTCATTTCGCTTACGAGCGCAGACAAACATACAGTGCCAAGTTTTCTTTGCTTAAAATAACTTTCTGAATTTCAAAAAGGCGATGGCACTAAGGCAAAWGTAAACAAATTAAACAGTTTTTATCTTCGCGCCCCTAATAACGGTTTATTGTGAATCTAGTTTCAGGTGAAGTTTAGCGACCAAAACTCAAAGATGCTAGTGGGGCACCACACTACAGCTATACTTGTCATCATGTTTGCGACTGGATTGAGGCAAGTGAAAATCTCGAATTATGACCTTTTTATTATTTTTCTTAAGTAAGTGCTATCTTTTCTTTTATCATTTGTGAGCAAATCCCGCACTTATAAGTCAAGAATTTCAATGAAATAAATAAAGGGAAGGTGGAAGTATCACTATTATTTTATAAAAATTGAGTTATTCTACAAATTGTCAAACATTCGTTTTAAATGTGGTTTTAACTTTTARATAACTTAAGTAAAAATGAGATTGGTACGGTAAAAAATTATATACTTTAAAATTACAAGCGCAATGCGTGCCATTACATTTTTATTCAAAAAAGTCTAAAAGAAAAAGGCAGAAAACTTGTTWGCAGAGCTGTCTACATCGAAGGCACGTTTCGAAATGTCTTTATCAGCGACATAAGTGGGTACGTGATGTATTATTAGACATTTCGATGTAATTTCAATAAAATATTGCCCAAATTATACGTGGAACATTTAAGTTCCTGGAGATATGCCATCTTTCCATGCAAAGTGAGATGGACTAATCGAACTCGATCTGAATAGCGAGAATTGAAGCTGTCTTATTGATATGTAAAACGAGTATTGTTAAAATTGAGAAATGACTGCTTGGTTCACTTAGACTCACCTCATTACTCTAAGATAATTGTATCAGAGGCGAAGAATACGCAAGGAATGGAAGCGAAGGAGAGGAAGAAGTGAGAGAAGGAAAGGGRAAGATAGGAATGACGAAAAGAAAGGAAATTGAGAGAGAATTGAGAAGAAAGAAGACGAGAAGAGAAAAAGAAAGAAAGAAAAAAGAAAGAAGAGAATAAGGAGCGAAGAGGGGAGAGTTTAGATGAGACGAGAGCGAGAAATAAATTTTCAAATATAATAAAATAGATAAGCTCACTTATGAAAAGACAATTATCGATTGCACAATATCACATAAGTATAATTCTACAGAGCTAGCTCATCGATGCAGTTAACAAAATAGGRCTTCCGCWGTTGTAAACAAAATCTATAGCAAACCAAATTGAATAGTGGAGTTCCTGCTGTGCCATTGCAAATATAACTGAAAAAGGGGAATGCAGTTTCCGTTTATTTTGTCTTTTTATTGACAGCATAGAATTAAGTGAACATAATCACATCAAAAGCAGACAAAAATAATAAAAAGCATTAATAAATGTTGTGATTTTACTTTTCGGCACTTTAGCACTTCATATAGACTTCCTTTCCTAAACTGTAAACGCGACAAAACATCAGNTTCCTCATTTTGATGTGAAATACACTAGTTTTTCTGTTCTTAAAATGTTTTGAGATTTATCAATGACGTCAGTGTAGTTGTTAACCTATTTAGTCGATGACGTCATCCTTACGTGGAGTTTGACTATATTTAGTCATGACGTATTGATCTATTTTTATCTCTGACATCAATCAATCTATTCTATAAAAACATCCTCACACTAACCTGCAAGCTATTCAGATGCTGCTATCCATCCTTCCACTCATCTACTGTTGGTACCGAGACGTTTTTGATGGCYCACTTTGGAATATCAACGACAGAATTGACAATGAATGCTGGCCAAAGCAGCAACAACCAGAAGGTCGAAAAGAAACCTCTTAACTTAGTGGTTGACGAAGCAGAATTTTTTGGACAGTTTAAAGTCAGGGAAACATTGACATTCCTGTTTTCTGAACTCAGCTTCAGAGMAGCATTTAAGAAGTTTGTATGTGAAGGGTGTGTCAACGAATGGCCAAGCCAAAGAGATCATGATTGCTGCATGAACAGCGAATGGCGCATATTCCTTGACCACTATGATGATGATGCAAAGAAAAAAGTTGACATGAATGCGATGATAGAGTTTGGAACACTGTTGTCACAGCTTGTGGAGATTCCCATGTCCTTAMAAATGCACAGTTTTATTGAAGAGCTTCCTCATGATTCAGCAGAAACAATTTACCTGAATCGAAAAGAATTTAGAGAGGATAGGTCGAGCAAAGAGAAAAAACGACTTGTGCAATGCGTTGACATGATGTGTGACACYCTTCTAGAGGGGAAACCATTTGACTACGCCATGCTAGCAACAGCCTTCATGCAGTGGTTTGATATTGGTCAAAAACACCTCCCCTGCCAACCAGAAAGAGTCCTCAGCTGTTTGAAAAGAATTGAGATACTAATGGGAAGTGAAAGATGGGAAATGTGAGAAGAACAAAAACATTCCACAAATACATATTTTAAACGAAATATTTAAAAAATATATAAAAAGACATGAATAGACATTTGTTACCAGTATTTTTTTTTTAATAGCAATAAAATCAGTGTTACTCAGTGAAATGAATCATTTCTGTGTTTGATTTCAAGGGGTGAAGAGATGGGTTGTTTGAGCTCCCTACCCAATTTAAAACTTGATAACATTTTTCGTAGAGTTCGTCTCGTTCTCGCCTGTTGCGGAGGAAAAGTGGTGATTCGAAACTCGCAAATTGATGGAGAACGCGAAACTACTTCAAAAACTGTATTACAACCTCAACCAAGAGGGAAGTCTGGGAAGTGTGGACGGTCTCTATTATGCTGCAAAAAAGAAGAATAAAAAGATTACTAGAAAAGAAGTTAAGGAATGGTTGAAAGGACAGCGCGTATATTCCCTCCACCGACCTGTTCGAAAGCACTTTCGTAGAAATCGGGTGATAGTGGGTTCCATTGACGATGTGTGGGAATTSGATTTAATTGATCTTCAGTCTTTGAAAAAATATAACAAGAACTTCMGATATATCGTGACTTGTATTGATGTCCTTTCCAAGTTCGCTTGGGTAGTACCTTTAAAGGATAAAACAGGAGCCACTCTAGTGCAAGCTTTTAAACAGATTTTAAAGGAATCCAAGCGGAAACCGCAAAAAATTCATACGGATCGCGGTAGTGAATTTACTAATAACCAGTTCCAATCATTTTTGAAACAAAAGGGGATTGGATTCTACCACACTTTTAACACAGATACGAAAGCTAGTATTGTGGAACGATTTAACCGTACCTTAAAGCAGCGCATGTACCGATACTTTACGTGGAAGGGCACCTTGAAATATATTGATATCCTTCCYGAACTTCTGAATTCCTACAATCATTCCTATCACAGAAGCATAAAGAGAACCCCGAGCTCAGTCAACAAAGCAAATGTAAAACAAACCTGGATGACATTGTATGGACATGAACCCACTAGGAAAGGATATACCTTTCAAGTCGGAGATCAGGTTCGCATTTCAAAGTCTAAAGGAATCTTCGAAAAAGGATATCTACCGAACTGGAGTGAGGAAATATTTACTGTTTCAAAGCGAATCCCAAGAAATCCTCCAGTGTATAAACTTAAAGATTTTGATGGTGAAATGTTAGAAGGAACGTTTTACGAAGATGAACTTCAACGCGTACAGACTCAAGGTGAAGAGGAAGTCTATAAAATTGAAAAGATTTTAAAAACACGAAAGCGAGRAAAGAAAGTTGAATATTTTGTGAAGTGGTTGGGATACCCTGAGAAATTTAACAGTTGGGTAGCTAAAGGTGACATTGAAAAATAATCCAAAAGAAACGAAATGCATTTTCCCGCCAAAACTGGAGAATTCGTTGCATGGCAACGGTTCAATTTGAGAATTCGTTGCATGGTGATAGTTTAACCCTTCATTGTCTCTAGAGTTAATTAAACAGAATAATAAAGCACTTGTTATAAGTGGAACTGAAGAGGAACCAAATACGTCTAGTATCAACAATACCACGTGTTATGTCTTATTATTGTTTCACCATGTGGTTGTGGTGAGAATCTACTTAAAGAGAATAAAAGATCATTATCGAGTGAATGATAGGCAATAAAGTTTAAATATAAACACAATCGCGTGTCCATTTGTTTTAATTTCAATCAAACCAACCATGCAGTCGGATCAAYTTTACATGACGCTACCAAGCAATAGTTCTATGGAGCTATTCCCTGGTAATACACTTAGCGACTTCAAAGTCAAACTACCATCACACGTGAATTTAGATGGAAATTGGGAGGTGGGGCTGGCTTCCATTACATTTCCACACACTTGGTACACAATAGGAGATGGCGATCATCGTTATTTTTGTGATAAGGGTGATGGATTCTTTGACGTCATAATCATTCCAAATGGGTACTATAGCAGTATCTCCGATATTATCAATATCATGAATTCAACTCTATCCAACAACAAGATTAAGGGAATTTCATTAGCGGTAGAAAAGCGATCTCAAAAAGTGACTGTGACTCTCGGAAAGAATCAAAGATTAAGTTTTGAAAACCGACTGGGAATCCTGTTAGGATTTGGAAGTGATATTGTGCTTTCTAAAACCACAA